GGTGGAGATGCAAAAAAATAAGTAAATTTTGGGGAAATGTTAGAAAACTGATAAAAGAAATAATCGATATAGAACTGCAACTCTTGCCAGAATTTTTTCTCCTTAATATGTTACCAGATGGAATTAGAAGAGATAGGGAGGGAGGAAGGAAGGAAGGAAGGAAGGAAGGAAGGAAGGAAGGAAGGAAGGAAGGAAGATGAGGGGGGGAGACATAGACAGTAATCCAGAGAGACAGACAGTGAGGGAGGGTGGGATAAAGGGGGGAGGAATCCGGCCGTGGCGAGCGGTGATGCGCTGCCGCCACTGCCCTTCCACTGATTCCCTCCAGCCCTGGCTAGTTGGGCAGGGGGGGAGTCGAGCGGGGTCGAGCGGCTTATTGCCACCGCTGCTCTTCAAGTGCTCCCCGGTTCCACTCACCCATCAGGTGGTTGTCAGCAGTAGTCTGACGTCTGAGGGGACCGGGTGCAGAGGCAGGCCTACAGCCTTTGTGTTCTGAGGTGGGACTTAGGCGACACGGCCAATGGAAGCTGGGGAAGCTTCTGACAGACAGTTCAAGCCTCCAAACACTGTTGGTGTGCATTTTCTCTCCGCTGCGTGACGCTGCGTCTTACTCAATTATATATAAGGGAGAGATTTCGGGAATATGCTGGAGATCTAAAAAAATGTAGGGACATTTTACCATGTATGGTGGAGATGCGAAAAAATAAGTAAATTTTGGAAAAATGTTCAAAAATTGATAAAAGAAATAATTGATATAGAACTGCAACTCTTGCCAGAAATCTTTTCTCCTTAATATGTTACCAGATGGAATTAGAAGAGATGATCGCTATGTTATATTATATATTCTTGCGATAGCTAGAATCCTACGTAGTAGCAAAAAAGTGGAAAACGGATATAATACCTAAAAGGGAAGAAGTAATTGAAAAAATCTTTGAATTAGCGGAAATGGACAGATTAAATCTGATGTTAGCAGGGAGAGATGACAAAGTGTTTATGAATAGGTGGAACAAAGTTAATAATTGGATGGGGAATGTTTTTGTTTGATTTGTTTTTTATGTATGGAAAATCCATAAATAAACTATTTAAAAAAAATAAATAAAATGAAGGGGGAAAAAGGAGATCACAGAGTTGGAGAAAGTGCCCAGAGGACAGCCAAAATGACTGAAGGGTTGGAGCACCTTCCCTCTGAAGAAAGGCTGATTCTGTTTAGAAAAGACACAACTGGGTGTGGGGGAATGTGACAGAGGTTTGTACAATTATGCACGAGGTAGAGAGAGGACAGAAAGAACATGCCACCCCCCTATAGTAGAACTCAGGGGCATCCAATATAGCTGATGGGCAGTAGATTCAGGAAAGACAAAAGGAAATACTACTCCACACAATGGTGGGATTCACTGCCAGAGGATGTAGCAATGGCCACAGGCACAGACTGCTCTGAAAGGGGGTTAAGACAGGTTCATGGAGGAGAAGTCCATCAGTGGCTACGAAATGGGACCCCTGAATCCCAGAGCCAGGAGGCAACGTAAGGGGAAGGCCTTGGCCTCTCTGCCTTGATGTTGGACCTGCAGAGGAACTGCTTGACTGCTGTTTGAGACAGGATGCCGGATTAGGAGAACTACTGGCCTAACCCAGCAGGGCTCTCTTCTGATGTCCTTATGAGGACCTCCCTCCCTCATCCCACCACTGCAAAGTTCACTCAGGAGCCTTTGGAGAGGACTGTCCCTCTCTGACCTCGCTGGTGGACCACCTGATGGCCCCTGGGTTTTGGCCACTGTGTGACACAGTGTTGGGCTGGATGGGCCACTGACCTGATCCAGCATGGCTTCTTCTGTCTGGGGCAGTGATGCTCTGTATTCTTGGTGCTCGGGGGGCAACAGTGGGAGGGCATCTGGAGTTCTGTCCCCACTGCTGGACCTCCTGATGGCCCCTGGTATTTCTGGCCACCATGTGACACAGTGTTGGACTGGATGTGCCATTGGCCTGATCCAACATTGGCGTATCTTATGTTCTTATGTCTGGAGCAAGTGATGCTCTGTATTCTTGGTGCTTGGGGGGGCAACAGTGGGAGGGGCTTCTGGTGTCCTGGCCCCACTGCTGGACCTCCTGATGGCACTTGGCGTTTTTGGCCACTGTGTGACACAAGAGTGTTGGACTGGATGGGCCATTGGCCTGATCCAACATGGCTTCTCTTATGCTCTTACGTTCAAAGGCTTTTGAGAAGCCTAAGTATGTAACTGTGACCAATGTTCCCTTCTAAGCTATGGAGTCTTGTGAGCAAAAGTTCTACTTTGTGAGCTACTGGCAATAAAGTTGTGAGCCAGCGATTGGGCTACTGCATAAATTAATCTGCTCTGGAGCCCTCCTTCCTGAGTTAAGACAAAAATCTCTGAGCTGGAGGCTAAAAGACTGTGAGCTGGCTCACACTAACTCAGCTTAGAGGGAACACTGACTGTGACCTGCTTAACTTTATTCAGGCTTAAAAAAAAAACACCCCATCCCCACCAAGAACTCCACTGGGAAGATGGGAATTCGCCATGCATATGCTCTGCCAATTCTCTCAGCAGGATCTGTTTCTTTACAGGCTTAATAAATTCTCTCTTTAATTAAGAGCTTCAGAATTTACCAGGGAGAGAGACTGCACTAACCAATCTGTCATGTCTGGAACCCCCTTTAAAACACACACACACACGCACACACGGATGCATCCATTTGGCTACGTTCCAGTTCTCCGGAGGAAGGAGCCCGATTTTCGTGACACACTGCACGTCTGAGTTGCATCACTGATTTCAAATCGGAATTCTTCAGGCCTCCTCGAGGACATTGGCTGATGCCATATCCACCCCCGCCAAGCAAAACCAGAACTACGCAACGGAACCTATGGCCAATCTACAAGATCACTCTTTTCTCATACCCTTAATTCATCACTGAACTTGGCTAGTCTTGGTACAAAATGCAGCACATTTGGACACAGTCCATCCAATGCTTGGCTTATACCCCCCCCTCCCCCCTCTGGTGCTTCATTTTCCCTTGGGGGGGGGGGCGGAAACTCGAGACCTTCAACTTGCATGAGGGTGAATGGGTGCGGGGTGGACTGCTGCTCCTGGAGGGTGAGGGGCAAAGCCTTCTGCCCATGCTAAGAGAGCACTCCTCCTGCCCTTTTGAGAGCCTGCACCCTCGCACCCAATGCAGCTTTGTGCTTCTTGCTCCGGGGAGAAGGGGGGGGGGAAGAGGACTCACACCCAGGCACCCGGCCAGTCAATAAGAGAGCCAGAGGCAACAACAGCTTGTATCCCTCTCTTTATTGTCTTTTGACTAGGTTGTAAAAAGCTCCATCATCGCGAAACAGCCCCGCTCGCGCACCCCCAACATCAGTAATCACAGACCAGTTTGGGAATCAGGCCCCCGCCTTCGGCTTTCCCCCCACCCACCCAGAAAGTGGCAAAGGTGCCTGCTGCACACCACACAGAGAAAACACGACACCGATCGATAGGAGACCGCCGGGGATGCGAGATGTAGACGAGGCCAGGTGGCCAGCTGCCCTGGGCGCCCAAGAGGGCGAGGAACGACTTCAAGGCCCCCGGCGTGGGACACTTGGAAAGGGGCTGGTTTGACCACGCAGAAGGCAAACACTTTCTGCTCCCCACACGCCAACCCCCCGGCCAGATGCTGGTGTGAATTTATCTCTTTGGGGGGGGGGTGTCAGAAGATTTCAGCCGATCCCCACAGAAGCAGCTGTGTTAAGTCTCCTGCAGCCAAGCCAGAGAGTGCCTCTGGGCACCTCCCAGGACTGACGCTAAGGCACGTCGTGGACTGGATGGGACCCCGCTTCATCGGATGCATGAAAACGGGATTCTCGCCGCTTCATGCAACCAAAGCCCCGCGCCTTCTGCGGTCCCGGGTTCCAGACGCTGAGAAGCGGTCGCCTTCGCGCCTCCGAGGAAGCATGGCTTTAGGCCTCTCCAAGGCTGCTGCCCGAGGTGGGTTTGTTAAGGTGCCCCCAAGACTCTCTACTGGCAGAGGGAAAGGAAGGGCTTCCTGGAGGCCTGAACGCTATTTGCCAAGGGGCACCCCGCGTGGCCTCTGACCAAAAGCAGTTGGAGAGTTGGGGGCCCCCCCCCCCCCCAGTTCTGATCTGGCTCTCAGCCCTTGGCCCACCAGCCACTGTTAGCGCGGAGGATACAAAGAGAACCTGCAGGCCCCGAGGCTTTAGGCATCCCTCCGCCTTCCCTGCCACGTTTCCCTCCAATGATGTTCACATGGGAGAACGTGGCTCTCATCCCAAGGAGGCCCCCAGGGCCACGAGGAGGGAGCCGCTAGCAGAGGGCAGGCCTTGGCTGGTGGGGCGGAAGGGCTAACCGGGAGCATGAAGGGCCCTCGCCCGGGGGAGACCGGGATTCTCCCCGCCCTGGCCTACAATCCAGAGGAGCTTCCTCCCCGGCCGGCCACGAGGGCTCCTCCCCACCGAGCCTGGCCCGGCAGACGCTCCAGGGAGGCAGCACCGAGACTACTGGAGGCGGGAAACAGTGTCTTGTTTTTTTAAAAAACGTGTGGCGGTGCTGTCCCCCCCCCCCCTCCCCAACTCGTCCCCTGCTGCCCACCTGGCCTGGCAACACTCGTCCCGGGGCAGAGGGCCGTGCTGGTTCCCGCGAACTTGGGAGGCCTGAGTTCTTTCACACACACAGTTTCCCAGCCTGGAAACGCAACACGCTGGGGGCAGTCTCTTCCTCTCCAGGCGGCTGGCGGAGATCCATCGCTGCATGCAGACCCTGTGGGGCAGGATGCCCAAAAGACACGGGTGTGTGGGGGGCATCGTGTGTCACGCTTCCT